CCCCAAAACCCCAAAACCCCGACTTTGAAGATTAAAGTATAAATGTGATTGACATTAATAAATATACTTGTTGATATTTGAATTTAAAGAGTTTTAATGAAGAAGAGAGTTTATAGTTAGAAAGTTGCATCAGGCAAGGAAAATAAGGTTGAGGATAACAAGGTTTTTGCTGTAGATAATGCAAAAAGTGCAAAAGTATCGCGGAAAATTATGAAGCCAAGAGTATCAGCTTCCAAAAACGCCCAAACACCCCAGGAGAAGTAGACGCCTAAGCTTAAACTTAACGATGTCATTGATTTCTACTAAAAGGTAGTTGTGGTATTTCAATGTAAAGAGCATAAAATTATTGCTAGAGACTAGGAGAAAAAAGAAATTGAAGAGTTTCTATTAGCCAACATTCAAAATAAGCAATCTGGTTTTCTTTACTTATGTGGTCATCCTGGAACTGGGAAGACCTCACTACTTGTTTAGATCTTAAAAGATTTAACATTTAAGAACCTTGAACTTGACTATCTGATATTGAATGCAATGAGCTTTACAGATCTCGACTGTCTTATAGAAGAAATAAGGTCTAGATATGCATCCCAACTGAAAACTCACTAATCTTTCAATGAAGTCATTCACACTTTTGAAGGTCTTAGCAAGCCTAAAGTAAAAGATTCTATTGAAGATAATATAGTGATCTTAAGCAATCTTATATAGAAATTCTCTTAGATTTGCAAAATCAAGCATATAATTCTAGTAATCGATGAGATCGATGCTTTTTCTAAAGTAGCATAGACTCAAGTCCACTTCAACAACCTTCTTAAATTGCTCATTCATAAGGACAGAATGAATATATCAATAGTAGGAATAGCTAACTCAGTAGAGATGTTTAAGGGTGAGTTGACGATGACAAGTCAGTTTTAGAACTCTTAAATGATATGCAAAAATGAAAAGAAACTTATATTCCCACCTTATGATAAAGCCAAGATAATTACAATTCTAAGCTAATTATACAGTAACTACATCAATGAACAATATTCTCCATAGTCCAAGAGAGATCAACTAAAAAGTTTAATAGATGCAAGGTCTTTTGATATAGCTGCATCTAAAGTTGATAAGCTTAGTGGAGATTTAAGATAAGCCTTTGCTATAATCCACAGATGCATATTTGACAAACTCTAAATCCTAAAAAAGCAGTCTGATGATTAGACTCTTAATTTAGAAATAAGCTATGATGATGTGAATACGACCATAATATAGATATATTAATCTAAGACAGCAAATATCTTGAAGCAGGTTCCTCGCTCACATATTATGCTTTTGAATATCATTTATGACTTGTTTAATCAACAAAATCTAGCTTAAGTTGACGAAGAAAAACTCTTAAGTGAGTACAATAGAAATTCATAGTCATTTATGATTGAAAGAATAAGAATGAGTGAGCTCCTTGATATGATTGAAACTCTAAGCAACTTCAGCATCATAAGCAGAGTTGATAAAAAGAGTGGCTAAGGTTCTAAAAAGATTAAACTAGTTAGACTTATTGTCAGTATGGAGGAGCTTCAATAAGCTTTGGAGTATAGCTAGTCTAAGTTGTGAATATAAAGATTTTACTGGAAATTAATAATTTGATTTGATGCAAAGGTGATTTAATTAATTTGAACAATCTCTTTCATTATAGATCTATAGTGGATTAGGGGTTTTGGGGTTTTGGGG